TGTGGTTGTCCCAGGCAGGGCTTCCTGCCTTTAGGAGGTCTGTCATGGGTTTGGCAATTTTTTGCGAAGGAGGGGATGAATTGCCTGTAAAACTTTGTGAATCCTAGGAAACTTTGTAGCTGTCTGCAGGCGCAAGGGGGCTGTAAGCCTAGGACGGCCTGTACTTTGGCTGGGTCCATCATTTGACACTCGGTAGCCCAAGTAGTCTAGCCTTTCATGGTGAAATTTGCATTTTGACAGCTTGACGTACAGGTTTGCTGCCAGACGTTTTTCCAGTACCTGGTGGACTAGGGGTATGTGGTCCTCCATGATCTCAGTGATGATGTCGTCCTGGTAAACAAGGAGCCCCTTATAGAGGTGCTCATGCAGCTTGTTTATTAACTGCATAAACACGGCCTGGCGGGCTTTTTGGGACATGTCGGCAGCACGCTTAGGGCCTCATTCCAGTTGTGCCCTGGGTGATGGCTCTTGCTTGGGTTTCGGAGCTGTGGTTGCGCATGCCAACACAATGTGGCCCATCCCTCCGCATCTGAAGCATTTCAACTGGCTTCGTGGGAGGGTTGGTTTTGGGGCCGGCTGTGCTGCTGCGACCTCCAGTCAGCTGGATGGTCTCCAGTCTGGTTGGCCTCTCTCCTTGGCATCCGGTTGCTTCTGCATGTCATTGGCGAGCAGTCCATAGTCAACTTTTATGGCCATTCAGAACCACTCAGTCAGTTGGTTTGGAATGTCCCAATATGTTGTGGTTTGCCGGCAGCCTGTCAGACGACAGTGGAATCGGACAGTGAGGAAAACAGGGACTGGTCAGGGAGTCTGGAGAGGACTCAGACGAGGGTCCTGCGTCGGATGCAGAGATGGGGCCAGTACCATCTAGAAGTGGGGTGCTGACTCTGGAGCCTCTGGAGACTGGCAGCAGCGAAGCTGAGGAACAAGGGGAGCCTGTTCCCAGTGTGCATGTGCACAGAGCTGCCCGAAGGCAAGAGCAACTGAAACAAAATGGGTGACTCGGGAGTAAGGCTTGGAGGTGACTGCCCCTCCCATAAGGTATAAAGGACAGGCAAAGGTGACAAAACCTTTTCAGGAAGCAAAGTCGTTTGTTCTGTTCGGATTAATCCTTGAAGCTCTGTGTGCACTTTGTACTTCGGTTGTTTTTTTAGAATTTATTTGGCACTCTAGTTGTTGGCAGCAATTCAAAGGAAAAAGGGACTCATTACTGGCTGGGAATTAGGGGGCGTGCATAAGCACACCAATGTGCCTACCGTCCCTGTCCTATTGTTTCTTTTATTTTTATTTTTATTATATGTATCCATGTATTCATAACTATGTTTTTACTTATACCTATTATCTTGTAAGCAATTGACAAAAATAAATAAATAAATAAAATAAAATAATTCCCAGGGCTGAAATAAAAGAAGAGCTGTTTTAACTAAGCATGTGCTTAATTACATTCTCAAAAAGCCTTGTTCAGAACACAGTAGGCAGTTACTTGGGCAATTTGCTTGTCCAGTTCTGAAAAAGTGAATAACCACTCCAGCAAAGGGGTAGTTTCCTGAAGACTCTCCAGAATTCACAGATGTGTTCCTTAATGGGTCGCCCTCTCTGCTGTAGGTTTCGGAGCTCATCCTCCGCATATAGATCTTCCTCCATCTCCTCAAATCTGGCTTCTAGCTCTTGTAGGAAGTCGTCAATATCTTGCACATGGGGGCCTCTCCTCTTATGGAGGGTTGCCAGCCATTCCTTTGCTTCTCTTTCCAGCCCCGCGGCAATGGTATTCACCATGTCTCTGTGTGATGGGTAGAAATGGCCGTAGCTCTCTAGGTGGATTCTAGCAGAGTTAAGGAATAGAGTCAATTGATCTAAGTCCACATCGAATTTCGCTCTGAATCGGGGCTGTTCATTTAGCTCTTTTCCTCCCTCATCATGTTGAAATACATACTTGGTTAGAAAAAAATGATAAAGCAACATATAAGATTTGAAACCAGAAATATTTTTGTTGGGTATATTAGCGGAACATTATAACAAAAAAAAAAACCATACTTAATTTTACATGTATTAATGGCAGTAAGAATTGTTTTTGCATAATAATGGAAAAATGAAGAGATCCCTACAGATGAAAGTGTTTTCCTTGTATTGAAAATTTTATAAGATGGACAAACTAAGAGTGGCCTCCCCAAACTCCATTTTCACTGGCCGAAGGCTGCAAGAGATCGTTGCAGCTGAAAATGGAGTCTGGGAGGCCGTACGCAGGTTACCTCAGGCTCCATTTTTGCTAACCCCAACCCTAACCCCCCCCAGCCCCCCGAGGTCAAACACAACCCTGATGTGGCCCTCAATTAAATCGAGCTTCCACTCCTGGATTAGATCTTTATAGAAATGGCTTGTTTATACTATTAGGAAAAAACAAAAAGTTGTGATTTGATGTTAATGCCTTATTTTACTGTAACAGAGTCGGAAGTCAATGCTTTTTTTTTTCTTATCTTTCCTCACCTTTCCTTCCCCTCTGTTTTCCTATTTACTTTGTATTTTCTATTTTATTATGACTCAATAAAAATGTTATTATAAAAATATTTTATTTATATCATTTTGAGTTACGTTACTCAGATTCTATTTTTTGAAGCCCAAGTAACTTGCAGACAGAATCAGTAAAATACAATTGGAGCATGACTTTGGTTCAAGGTACTTCTGTTTTTCTTGAGAGCATATATTTGCCACAAGTGTGAGATAAAACAACAGAACTGCTGATAAAATAGGCCAATATATAAAGAAGTACTCCTTCATATTTCTTGCCATGGTAAAGATAGTTGCATTAAGTATGTCTGTGTGCCAACTATGACCCTTTTAAAATAGTCAGACTCAACAATAAAATCCACAACTTGATTAAATCCTTAAAGTAACACAGCATTCCTGAAATGTCTATGGTTTCTGTTTATTGAGAAGGGCCGGCATTAAATCTTGAAAACATGGCCAAGTTCTCTCTGTCCCATCTTATATTAATCAAAATTGTTCCTTTCTTTCTCCAGCTTAGTTCTATGCTATGCTATGAGCTCTCAGGCAATGGAATAAGCTCCCTAAGGCAGTGTACTTGGCTCCTACTCTCATAGCATTTGGGAACATAGGAAAAAAAGCACCTCTTTCACCAAGCTTTTGTCAGTTTCGTGATTGAATTTTATTTTATTTAACTGAATAAATTTTATTATGTTTTGTAGTTTACTTTTTACAATTGTAAGCTTCTTCAATGTTGTAATAAATGTGTAAATGTAAGTTTTTTTTACTTACAATTGGGACATTTTTTATGTTATGTTAAAACTTTTTTTCTAATATCTACAACAAAACATTTTTGATTCATATACAAATCTAAATTCTTAGCTCACTTTCAGTCACTTACAAATCAACAATTTCAACAGATATATGGATGAAAGTATATTTATAATGTATACTTTATAATGTATTTATAAAGTATATTTATAATGTATACCCATCATAAACTGTCCGCATATCAAGTATAGTGAGTAGTATTGTTAATATTTATCTTAATCATAAAGCAGTGCTTTCATTTAGATAAATCATTAAGATGCAGATAAATAAACTACTTAACTGAATTGCAAAAGCATAGTGTCAAGGGATGGCACACAATATTGAAAGGCCAATCCTTTTCAGAATATTTGTTTCAACTGACTATCTAGTAAGGCTTCATAAAAGGGATATTATAGAGGAGAAACCTGGAATCTCACTATAAAGATTAAAAAGAAGCATGCAGTAGTTTTCACATGACCTTTAAAATGATATGTGCATATTGAGGAGGTTTTTATTTTTTTTAGTATCACTTTACAAATTACAATTTTGTTATCAAATTGGAGGGGCTCAAAGGCATGCCCAATGATTTACATGGCACAGATTATGCACTCCCAGTTTAGGAAATTACAGCTAGCCCCCATTTAGCAATTTCCTTGTTTAGTAACCATTCAACATCATGACAATAATGAAAAAAGGTTTTTTTATGACAAATCCTTGTATTTACAACTTTAGAAAATCTGTAAAGCAAAAGTGAAGCAACAACATAAGCACAATAGCATGATTTTCACTTAGCAACTACTTTGCTTACCAACCAATTTGCCAATCCTAATTGTGGTGCTAAAGGACTATCTGTACTGGAGACAACATATGTCTGAATGACATTTTCTCTTCTTATAATTCTCATCTCTCAAAAATCTGCCATCTTGAATTAAAAGATTCACTTGAACAGAATTCAATTAAAGGAACAAAATTCTTTCTCAGCTCCCCTCCTAGCCACAAGCTATCATTAACAAGCAATGATCAAAATTAATAATTGGCTAGAAGAAATTATGAAACAAAAAATCAAGATGAAACCAAAAATATTTTTATTGGGTATATTAAGATATAATATCTGTAAAAAACTTCCAATACATTATACTTCATATAATAACCGCGGCCTGAATTGCCTTTGCCCAGAACTGGAAACAAGACAATACTCCTTCCGACATAATGATAATAAAATAGATTTTAGAATGTGCAGAAATGGATACGTTATTGATGGAACTAAAAGATAGAGAAGAAACGGAGTACTATGAGATTTGAAATTTATGGTACAATTGGTTGGAAGGTAGACACAAAACTGATAGATGAAGGGTATGTAGGAGTTAGAGTAAGATGAGATAAATATTGTTTGTAATCTTGTAAATATTTGGTTTAAGTTGAATGCAGAAACAACTGTGTAACATATAGTAGCAACCTACATAATTAGAAAGTATGTCAATGTGAGTGAACACCGATACTGGAACACTGTAATGAGTGGAAATGTGTTTTTATGATGAAAATATGATTAATAAATTTTATTTATAACATTTTAAAAAATAACAAGCAATGATCAAAGTATAAAGCTAGAATTTAGAAAAACAAAAATCAATTTAAACAGCATAATTTACTTCTACTAGAAGTCATTCTACTTTCATTGTCAAAAAAGATGTTTTAAAAAATCTACTTACTTCTGTGCTTCTTTCAACTATGCTTTAATCCCAATCCAACTAGTTCCTGCATATTAAAAAAAACAAACCAACATCTTAGAAAAAAGGCCAATAATTTAAACTCTCAAATGAATAATCAAATACACTTTACTGGGATAAACGCAAGGATACTTGTGCTGCACCCAAATCAGCCATACTTTCCAGTCACAAGTTGAAAACCTTTTTCAACTGATTTGTGGAGCACAATACTCCATGGCTTTCTATTCCACCCATTCATTTCCCATTCAAACAACTATCATGTATAAACACAGCTTCTTAGCATATTTAAAATGTTTAAAAGGTGGATTATTTCGCTAAAGCTCAAAACTTAACCACCTCCCTACAGTAATTCAAACTCTGATGCAATCTATTCACACAATTCAAAAACGCTTTTGCAGCTTGTGACTTCCTGCCAGCTTCCTCCTTGACTTTGCTTGTTGGAAACCGGCTGTGAAGGTTGTAATTGGTGATTGTGAGACATTTGTGGCCATTGTAAATATATGTTGGTCTTGAGGCAACCAAATCACATGACCAGGAGTGTACTGTGACAGAAGCAATTTCAAAGACCAATCATAAATTTCTTTTAGTGCTATTGTAACTTCGATTGCTAAATGAGCAGTTGGTAAGTGAAGATACTTATAATAAAGACAGGCTTTGTATCACTTCAGTGATGACTGGCTGTGCTATGAAAGTGTAAATAGTTACCATGGAAATGTTGCCCTAGATTCAAATCCATAGAAAACAATTAGCTGTAGATACTTGCATCTAAATTTGGTTGTGCATCTGATTTTACCTTTGATTTTTGATGTATGTAGCTTCTTTAGTAGTATAGGCCTAGGAAAATGATGAGAAGTAAAGAATTATAATCTGTACTTCTTTTTTTCATTTTCCAATTATAATTTAATTCTGAAATCACAATACTGAAATTAAACGTGTTTTAAAAGAGGTCTTGCAACAACAGTGAAAAATAATAAACCATCTATTGTAATGCAGTTCAAAAGTGTTGAATTTGGGAGATCCATTCAAGTCCATCTTTAACTATGACAGCTACCGGGATGACTTTGGAGCAGTCATCTCACAGCCAATGTACTCAGAGGCTTGTTGTGGATAGAAGATATGGGAGCACAGAATTTATGGCTATTACTTTACCTTCTGAAAAAGAATGATGGATAGAAATTTAGTACTGTTTAAAAAAAAAAGGTTTACCTGCTTGACAGTATTTGATAGGATGAGGAAATAGCAGTTAGGAGCAATCTATGGACTGGCTGTTGGAATTAGATACCGTTCTTTGACAACAACAAAAATTCCAAACTGAGCACACAACCTTGCTTAGTCAATGAGTTAGCTTTAACCACTTTTAGGGGGCAGCTCATTAAATCGGTGACCAACATTGAATATTGAGCCACGAGGTTTGGTGCCCTGTACTAAATTACCTCGTTAGCGAAGAAAATTATATATACAGTACTGCGTGTAGGAGGAATAAAAGAATCACCCCATTA